TTATTTTGAGTATATACTCAGAATAGGAACTGTTTTAATTTTTTGAGGAGCCACCACACTAGTCCCACTAACAAGGGCTGGTGGGACTATCCTTGTTAAAACTTATTTTCTGGGTTTTTTTTTTTTTATATTAGCCATCCTAATGGGTGTGAGATGGTATCTGTGAGATTTGTTTGATTTGCATTTCCCTAATGATACGGGATGTGGTCATCATTAGGAATTTTTTTTTAATAAGAAAATAAAAAGATGATTGGGGTTTAGTGCCTAGGAGTCTCTGGATGAATTGTGAGAAGAGGTGTTTTGGCAGAGCGATGGGGTCAGAAAGCAAAGTGGAGAGAACTGGGGACGCCCTGAGCTTTTGGTCAGCTCTACACCCCAGTCTCTGTAAAAGTGGGTATTCCATAAATACTTTACTGTACTTGCATACTCAGTCATGTCTGACTCTCTGCGACCACATGGACTGTAGCCCACCAGGCTCCTCCGTTCACAGAATTTCCCAGGCAAGAATACTGGAGTGGATAGCCATTTCCTATTCCAGCGGATCTTTCTGATCCAGGGTTTGAACTCATGCCTTTTGCATCTCCTGCATTGGCAGGCAGATTCTTTACCACTGTGCCACCTGGACAGGCAGATTCTTTTACACAGTGGTGAAGAATCTGACTACCAATGCATGAGAGACAAGCGATCCCTGGGTCGCACAGAGTCGGCTATGACTGAGCACACACGTGCATGCAATACTTGATTGGGCCAATTGTAAATAACCAAACAAGTACATACAAATGCATGTACATTTATCTTGGACGGAAGGGATGACTTCTGAGTTTTAGAAGAAAAAGGGTGTAGTTGCATTTTCCTGTGGGAAGGTGTCTCCTATCTGCTTTTACAGCTTAAGGACCCGTGAGGTTTTTCCCACTGTGGCTCTCAGAGGCTGGCGTGGTGACCACAGCCTCACTGATGTCTTCCCTGCTGCAGCCCAGGCAGGAAATCCTAGAGACACCACCAAGAGCTGGCTCCCTGCCAGGCCGGGAGCAAACTGGGAGAAGCTGGAGGATCTCCCAGCTGACTTGCTTTCCAGTGGGTTCAGGAGGGTCCTGTCCAGCTGGCTCCAGACCACTCCCTAAGCAGTGCATGTGAGTGTGTACGTGTGTGTGCTCACACTTGTAGTCTCCCTGTCTCCACAGTCTTACCCAGCACTTTAGTATTTCTGAGACCAGACCTGAGGTGGAGATCCAGCAGGCTTTGGGGACAAAGTGAAAAGCCAAAGAAGAGAGCCAGAGTTGAAGATGCAAGGCTGATGGGCATGGACCTGAGTCTCAATTAGCAAGAAGCTTTCAAAAATGTATTGAATTGTTGAATTAACTGCCAATGACTAAATAATACTTTCCACACACACACACATACATGAAAACACACATTTGGCTTCTATTAAAGATGGTATTATCTGGTTACCCTGTTTGCACACTCTCCCTGAAGCTGATATACTGAGCTTGCAGCATTCATTTTACCACAGTCCCCACCATTCCCTATTGTCACACATCAGCCCTGCTGCACTCACATAGGTCACTTGCTGACCCTTTAGGCAGCTGATTTTGGTGTTTGGCTTTGCTGAGGCTCCTGAAAGATCCTCTGATCCAGAAAGTTGAGGCCCAGGGCCTGGAGACGAGAAGGGGGTCACACTTCAAGTGGGGTCGCATGATACAGACAAGGCAGATATGCAGTGGGGACCAAGTCGCTTGACTTCTGTGTGGTTGATTTCCTATGTCCCCAGGTTTCTCCCTGGGTGAATTGTTCAGAATTTATAATCATGTTTGACACCAAAAGTCACTCTCTGACCTTGCTATCTATCTACTTCCCAATGGGGGTGCTTCAAGAGAAGGGGTAAAAAACAAAATACAAAAATTAAATAAAAAATAAATAAAAGAAGGGACATAGGGTCTGAGATATCAAGGCTGGAGCTGTTGGGGGCCAGGATACTCACTAACTTGAATGCTGTTGTATTCTCTTTCCCAATTTCATTTCACAAATTGAGCAAAACCGAGGCCGGGAAAAGTACAGTAAAACCTCAAAAGCAATGCTCTAGGAATGCAAAGGTCCTGGGGTTTTTTTCATTTTCTGGTTAAGAGTGATTCAGAGGCCCTCTGTTTTGGTTTTAACCTTCAGAATCACCAGATGTCTCTTGAGTGAATGGATGATGGAATAGATGGGGCTCACGAGGGCCTCAGGAGGTGATACTTTCAAGCCCTCATTTTTCAGAAGAGAAAGCCCAGAAAGGCACAGTGACTTGCTTATAGTCACACAGCCAGTTAGAGGTGGAGCCAGTACTCTGTTCTCTTCAGAACTCCCAGGCCTGTTGCAGAACCCACTTTTCCCCCCAGGTTAAGGAAAGCTGAGAGGGCACGCTGAGCCTGTCTTTGCTAGATGACTTTGAAGGGCCAAGAGTTGTGCCATCTGGCCTGGGACTGAAGGTGGCTATGGATTAGTAATACACGTAGAAGGGCTACCCTTGGACACTGTGTTACTCCATGTAAACTTCCATTCATTCATTCATGTCTTAATTTGAAATATTCACTGAACACCTGGCATGTGTCAACACCTGTGCTGGGCATTGTGGCTCTAGCAGGGACTCCACCTGCTTTCACAGAACTTGAAGCCACAGTCCTCAGTCAAACAACCCAGGGGAAAACAATTCTGTTTCATTGAACAGTCAAAGGAGGTTTTTAAAAGTGAGGTTCAGGAACCCTCCTGGTGGTTCAGTGGTTAAGACTCTGCACTTCCACTGTAGGGGGTGTGGGTTCAACCTCTGGTCAGGGAACTAAGCCCTGGAACGTGGGGTCTATTTACCATGTCATTTTATGGAAGTGGAAATCAAGGCCCAGAGAGGTTAAGAATCTCACCCAGAGTCACACAGTGAATAAATGGCTGAGACAGGACATAAGTTCAGGTATGTGACTTTAGGGTCTGAACCGCTGACCCCAAATAAAAGAAAAGTTACTGTTTAAAGTGGACCTGGAGTCTGAGAGGGGTCTGGCAAGGCCATTGGCGACCACCACAGGGTACTCTAATGGACAGAGGACCCCAGAGCCCCAGTTACCAAGCAGCTGACCTGGGGGGGCGCGGGGACAGCATTTATCCATTCTCGGCTAACAAATAGCAATAATAATAATTGGAGATAACATCTTGAGCGCTTGTGAGATGCCAAGTGCTACCCTCTTATCTCAGGTAATCCCACATTCATCCTTTGAAGTCACTGTTGTGCCTGACCCCATTTTACAGATAATGACACTGAGGCACAGGGCAGTTTAGGAAGTCATCCAAATTTACAGAGATGGTGGAGCCAGAATCCACACCCAGGCAATCAGGCTGAGTCCAGGCTTCCAACCACACATTATGGGGTGCCCACAGCAGTACAGTTATGAGTTGGCACTGGCCCCCTGGGGGCTCCCCACCCTTCACCCTTCACCCTTCCCCAGCCAGCGTCAGGCTGCTAGGCGCTGGGAGGGAGGCGGCTGCATTTTTTGCCTTGACCAGAAATGCCAGTGCGTCACCATCACACAAAGTCCTGGCTATTTGCTCCTGTGGTTCCTGGGGCACCCTTTGCAAGTGTCACCTCACACAGGCTGAGCAGGGAGGGGCAGGAAAGGAAGCAGTTTCAAGGCACATGATTAAAATTCCTAAGGAACTATGTGGAGTCCTTCAATTCCTCCCTTGAAAACACACAGAAAATTCTTGGTCTCTATATTGGGCTGGGCTTTGAGCCTCTGGCTGCACCTTCTTGTGTCCCTTGTAACTACAGACGGGCTCCCAGGAGGAATTTTCTGGGTCCCAGGGATGGCTGGTCCTTCCCTCCTCTCCACCCAACTATGCTGCTTGGGATTCCTGGCGCTCCTCCGTGGGCAGGCCAGGGTGTGGGCACCCATGGGGGGCAGAGCCCAGGACAGACTGGTGGGGGTGGCCAAGGGGCTCCTGGAGCAGCCCCTCCCCTGCAACAAACCCAGCGGGTTTGAGCCTGGCAGAGTGTGAGTGTGTGAGTGTGTTGGAAGGTGTCTCTGCAGGGCCCACAGCTCAACGCCAGCTGTTGGTGGTCTCAGATGAGAGAGACCCATCAGGGGAGGATGTGAGTCAGAGAAGTCTGACCTTTCCAACGGGTGTGCAGCCTCCTGTTCCAAAACAGGACCATCCTGACAGGGAACCACAGCAGGCCAAGAGCTGCCCAGGAGCTTTAAATATATTCAGGCACTGCAGTTCGCTCTCTGCGTAATTATGGACAACTCATGTAACTGCCCCGAGCCTCGGTTTCCTCATCTGTAAAATGGGAGTAACAATAATAATTTCTATTCGTGGGGGCTTAGCCAGTTGTCCGGAGTAATGTCTATGAAACACAGGCCACAGAGACTGGCGCATAGCAGGGGTGCCTTCCTGGTGGGGTTAGTTAGGGGGGCTCCTGCTTTCTCAGTATCTGTTAAGGACCCCCCACTAGACAGAGAATTGCAGGCCAGGGGGTACTCTTCAGAGGCCTGGCCAGGCCAGGACTCGCTGATCCACATGCTGACTTATCAAATCATGTTGTGAGCTTGGCGACTGGGGTCCTGAAGCCGACCCAGAACAAAAGGAGGAGAGATTTTGAGGCCCCGGGACGTGTGCCTCACCCGTGGAAAGGACAGTGCAGAAAAAGCCTGTACAGTCCCACCCCACCTCCCCACCCTAAGTGCGTGTTCAGTTGCTTCAGTCGTGTCTGACTCTTTGTGATCCTATGGACCATAGGATCCGCCAGACTCTGTCCATGGGATGTTCCAGGCAAGAATACTGGAGTAGGTTGCCATTCCCTTCTCTAGGGGATCTTCCTAACCCAGGGATGGAACTCTCCTCTCTTACGTCTCCTGCATTGGCAGGTGAGTTCTTTATCACTAGCGCCACTTGGGAACTCCCTCTCCCCATCCTGGTTCCTCACAAACTCCAGTGGCTTCAACTTTTCCCGGAAATCTTCTCAGGAGCCTTCTTCATCAGCTTGGAAGATGGACGTCTTTTCTCCCCTCCCGTCCACCCTCCCGGGATTCCAGGAACTGGTCCCGGAGCTTTAAATCTACGCAAAAGAGGAGATAAAGACACTATGTGAGGGTAAGAGCGTCCCCCGGCGGTAACGGGGGCAGTGGGCCTGGGCGCAGTAGAGGTGGGAGGGATGGCGTCAAGAATGACGCCAGCGGCCCCGCCCCGCCCCGCCCCTCAGGGTTGTATGCAAATGAGGCCCCGTGTGTAGCCCCGCCCCCTGAGCCGTGCCCTGCCCCCCACGACCCTGAGTGGATGTCCGGGCATCCCGCCAACTCCGTGCCAATCGTGCTTGGCGGCCCAACCCCTGTGGGCACTGGCCACCTTCCTTCCAGCCTCCTCCCAGCAAGCGCTGAGGGTCTGAGGAGGGGCTGAGGACGCCCCCTTTCCCCGTCGGGCAGCCAGACTTCAGGGCGTGAGGGTGGTGGGAGAAGGGGCTCGCTCAGGTCTGGGGTTCGGAGGAGACTCTCCTGAGGGCGTGCATGTCTGCTCTGCGGCACTGGCTTGCCCCCCATCTGTTAGCACCTTGGCAGCTGACTCCAGAGGCAGAGGAGGTGGGTGGAATGGCGGCGAGGGGAGAATAGGTGCTGGCACTGCCGTCTGAGGGCGCGGCAGGGGAACCAGAGGCGGATCTTGGCAGCCGGACTGGAAAACAGCTTCCCTCTCCCTCTGGAGCTGCTGGGCCACCCCCGGGGGACACAGAGGTGGGCACAGCCCATGAGAGCAGACACCGATTCCGCAGCCTCCCGTCTGGCGAGGTGGGCCTGCAGACTACGTGTGCTGCATGCTCCTCCGTCTGCAGGGCCCCACGGAGGTGGCAGCTGGGAGAGAAGCCTGATCCTGCCAGTAGCCGGATGGACCTGCAAAGCTCCGTGTGTTTATCTGGGGAATGAAAAAGCTTGGGGTTTTTTTGAACTTATTATTTTGTATTGGGGTGCATGCTAAGTCCCTTCTGTCGTGTGGGACTCTTTGCAACCCTCTGGACTGTAACCCACCAGGCTTCCCTGTCCATGGAATTTTCCAGCGAAGAATACTGGAGTGGGTTCCCATGCTCTCCTCCAAGGGATCTTCCCGACCCAGGGGATCGAACCCACGTCTCTTATGTCTTCTGCAGTGACAGGCGGGTTCTTTACCACTAGCTCCACCTGGGAAGACCTTGGATTGGGGTATAGCTAGTTAGCAATGTTGTGATAGTTTCAGGTGGATAGTGAAGGGACTCAGCCGTACATATGCATGTATCCATTCTCCCCCAGACTCTCCTCCCATCCAGGCTGGCACAGAACATTGAGCAGAGTTCCCTGTGCTACAGTGTAGGTCCTTGTTGTTTATCCATTTTAAAAGTAGCAGTGTGTACCTGTCCATCCCAAACTCCCTAACTATCCCTTCCTCTGGCAACCATAAGTTCATCTGAAAAATGAAAAATTTTTTCAAAGCATCAGTCATGTCAGCCCCTCTTGCACAAAACCCTTCCAGGGCTCCCCAGGCTCCTAGGGTATCCCCCACCCCAACTTTAACTCTGAGCCGCCTCTCCAGGCCCCCTTCCTCCTGTGCTCCAGCCACCCTGGTCTTTCACTTTCCCACCACAGGACCTTTGCACGTGCTATTCTGGCTCCAGGAACATGAGTCCCTTCTCCACCCAGTGAATGGCCTTGTTCACAGCTCTCTGTCAGTTCCCCAGGAAGGGCTAGCTTGATCTCTCTGACGGGTCCTTGCAGCTTCCTTTCCTTCTCAGCTCTGAGTATAAATCCTATTCCTTAGGCCAGCCTTTCCAAACTCCCTTGTGAAGTTCTTATTTATTTATTTGGCTACACCAGGTCTTAGTTGTGGCATATGAACTCTTAGTAGTGGCAGGTAGGATCTAATCACCTGACCAGGGTTTGAACCTGGGCCCCCTACATTGGGAATGTGAAGTCTAAGCCACTGGATCACCAGGGAAGTCCCTTGTAAAATGCAGATTCCTGGGCCCTTCTCAGCCTTAGAGTCAGAAAGCCCAGCAAAGGGTTCTGGGTGCTATTTAAGGAGCCCCTTGGGGGATCCTTTCCATTACTGTGGGTGGGAGGCTGATAGGTGTGTGCCTACCGCCACTCAGTTCTGAGTCCCCAGAGGTGGGCACCATCCTCTTTATTTTTGCAACCCTACCTCCAGCACAGCCTCTGGCACACGACAGGCCTCAAGAAATATTTGTCAAACAGATGGATGATGATAGGATGAATAGAATTAGTTCCAGTGACTAACTTTAATTCAATTCCAAGTGTATTTATTACCCTGCCTACACAAGAGCGGAACACTAGGAGAATCACAAAATGGACTGATGTGTCCCTAAGCTGAGAGAGTGAACAAGATACGAACAAACCCAAGCTGGGGACCCTGCCTGGGCTGTGAGCTCTGAGCAGAGGACAGAAGTGTCCTGGGGACCATCCTGGGGCAGCTAAATTCACTCTTTTCTCTGGGAAGACAATTTCCCCTCCCCAACACAGGTGGAGACAGAGACACTATGCACCCCTGTGGGGAACTGAGGCCCCAGAAAGAAGACAGGGTAACAACAGGAACAGCAGCAATAATAATAAACACAATTAAGATATGCAGTTTTGGCATCCCTGTTCTGAGATTCCACAAGTTAGCTCATGCAAGCTGGTAGCTGTTTGGGCAGAGATAGCACCCTGATTTTCTGCCCTGCACCCTCTTCCTCTCCCTTTCCTCCCCCTCAACTCCCACTAAGTGTTAAGCTCTGAATTGAAAGAGATCCTTCATCCTTACCTCCACCCCGCCTGGGGGTCCTGTATTTCAAACAGTCTGTCCCCCCACCCCACCCATCTCTACATGCAAGCACACCTGCCTCTCATATCAGTCTCTGAATTTGGGGTTCTGAAAACTTCCCCACTGCCCTAGAGTGGGCTTCCCAGATGGCGCTAATGGTAAAGAACCTGCTTGCAAGGCAGGAGATGCAAGAGATGCAGGTTTGATCCCTGGATCAGGAAGACGCCCCCCTCCCTTGGAGGAAGGCATGGCAACTCACTCCAGTATTCTTGCCTGGAGAATCCCATGGACAGAGGAGCCTGGTGGGCTACAGTCCATGGGGTCACAAAGAGTCAGACACAACTGAAGTGACCTAGCACGCATGCACACCCTAGAGTGGAGGTGTGCGTCTTGGGGGGGCCCTATGTCTGATGCCAGAGTGGAGAGTGTAAGAGGAGGAGGGATTGGGTGCTACCGAGGGAGCCAGCCCCACCCCGACTCTTCTCAGGCACCCACGAGGCGGTGGCTTGCATTTCAGGATTTTGAGCTTGGCAGAACGCCTGCGACGTTCATTTCTGAGGGGGCAGGGAATGGAAAGAGAGGGCGGATGGAGCCAGAGGCTTTTCCCGGGCCCTGCCCAGGCTGGGATGGACAAGATCTTTGAGATTAAAAAAAAAAAAAAAAAAAAAACCAGCTGGCTTGTACCCAGGTCTGAGGGGAGGCCCTCCCTCTTGATGAAGGAGAGGATGGATGGGGATATAAAATAGGGGTGAGAGGTGACAGGTATCCCGCGGTCACTGCGCCCTGAGGGGTTATGAGCAGGCCCCACCCCCCAGAAAACAGAGAGGACGTGTTTCAGAGCCGGGTGGGCTGCACGGACACTGAAGGCTTGTTTGCTGGCTGCCCACGCTCACCAGGAATCGCCCGGGCGGCTGGGCACCCTGGAGCTGTCACTTACGCCACTGCCTGTGCCAGCCGGCCAGGCCCCCTGCTCCCCTGCCCTGCCTGCACCCCTGCCTCTCTGGGAGCAGCTCCGAGGGCCCCAGAGGGCACAGGCCTGTGAGTGGTGACCTTTAGGACAGGGGAGAGAGGGCCCAGAGAGAGCTGGAGCCCCTGGACTTTGCCAGGCCTGGTAAACAGAGCCCCTGAGAGGCAAAAAGCCCTGAAGTCTCTGCCAGCCTCCCTCCTCCCCCGGGGGATGGGGGGGTGCATGTATACAGCCAACTGGCTAACTGGAAGGTGGGGAGCGCGTGGACAGGCTGGGACTCGTTCCTGCCCGGGGCTCCTAGGAGCAGGCGTCCCCCTGAAAACACGAACGCTCAGCCCACCCCGGAGCAAAGCTGAATCAATGTTAACTACCCCCAGTATATTCTCCTTCCCAAATCTGGCCCCCGGTTCTGCTCCAGTGGGTTCAGAGAAAGTAGGCCCCCTTGGAATCCTGGGTTCAAGATTTCAAAAGGAAGCAGGCAGCAAGGCATTTCTTTGGCAAGGCACACATCTGGGCCAAGTTTCCACGGATCGGGTCGGAGGAGTGAGGTGTGCCCACAGGCAGGAGGTCCCCAGAGTTCCTTACCCGTCAGGTGGAGCAGGTTGGGGCAGGGACGGGGAGGGGCGGCGTGGCTGGCCTTCTGGATTCTGACCTTCCCTCTCCGTCTGTGCATCTTCAGCAGAGCCAGCTTCACAGGTGTGAGACCCGGGCCATCACATAAAAGGACACTGCACTGGATTTAATGCCCTGCCAGGACCAACATGGGATACTTAAATATTTTGAGTAGGGGGTCCTGCACTTTTATTTTGCGCTAGACCCTGAAAATTATGCAGGTGATCTTGACCTGAAACTCAAGGAAAAAATGATGGTTGTAGAGTTTCTATTTAGGGGAAGCTTGGAAGTGAAAAGCTGGCTGGAAGTAAGAGCTGAGCAACTTGTGTTGAAGCTACACTTGATAATAACAATACAATAGCAGCAGCAGCAAAACCACCATGCTCTTAACAGAACTGTGTGCCAGTCACTATCCTTTTTATGTTTTTAACATTTGACCATCCCAAGTGACATGTGGGATTCTAGTTCCCTGACCAGGGATCAAACCCATGCTCCCCAAGTGGAAGCACAGTTTCAACTACTGGACTGCCAGGGAAGCCCCATCAGTCACTGCTCTAAATGCTTTATATGAATTAGCTCATTGAATGCTCAAAACATCTCTACACAATCATAACTATTATGATCCCATTTTACAGAAGAGAAAACTGAGTCTCAGCAAACTTAAAGCAGCAGCAATCAATCAAACCTGGGCAGTTAGACTCCAAAGCCCTTTACCTTCCGCTAGAACTCACATTCATTCAGATTTAAAGTCGGTTTCTTGTATACATGTGGTTGAGTCTTGTCTTTCTGACAGCCTCTGTTTTTTAATTGGTATATTTTCACTATTCGCACTTAATATAATGACATAGTTGGATTGATATCTACCATGTTTGTAAATGTATTCAGTGCACTTAATTCTTTTTTTTTACTCTTCTCCTCTCTTTATGCCATCTGTTTTTAAATATCTTATGATTGCATTTTTTTCTCCTCTCTTAGCCTATCAAATATACTAAAAAAATTTTTAGTGGTCGCCCTCGAGGTTTTACAATATCCATCACAACTAATCTGTCTTCTTTCAAACAGCACTACGCTACTTTGGAGAGTTTTCCCAATTTCTCCCTCCCCTCACTTGCAATGTGACTGCCACTCATTTCCCAGATCCACTTGCTACCATCACCTAACATGTTGCTACTGTTATTGGGCATTTATTGCCGTTGTTTCTTGAATCCTCATAACAATTTTATGAGGTGCGGTGGGGACCGTCCTCAGCCACATTTTACAGAGGTGTTGACAAAGGCACAAAATGTGTACGGTTCCCCAGATCACAGCAAGTGGCAGAACTGAGCTTTGAACCCAGCCATTTCTTGTTCTGTGTGGCAAGCAGCCTGCTTTCCTTTAGTTATTCTATTCCGTGTCAAACAATGGAGCCAAGTTTTTTAAAGAGACATTTGTTCTTATTTGCTGTGGTGTTTGCATTTACTCTTGTTCTAGTGTATTATTATTATGGAGGCTGTGGGGTGGGGGGGCGCTCTGGAAGGGCTGATTGAGATGGGGAGCCACCAAAAGGGAACTGGGGTTCCAGCCTCACTTGTTGAAAGTGAAAGTCGCTCAGTCTTGTTCGGGCCTTTGCAACCCCATGGGCTATACAGTCAGTCATGTCCGATTCTTTGTGACTCCATGGACTATACAGTCCAGGGAATTCTCCAGGCCAGAATATTGGAATGGGTAGCTTTTCCCTTCTCCAGGGGATCTTCCCAACCCAGGGATTGAACCCAGGTCTCCCGCATTGCAGGCGGATTCTTTACCTGCTGAACCACCAGGGAAGCCCAAGAATACTCGAGTGGGTAGCCTGCCCCTTCTCCAGCGGATCTTCCAGACCCAGGAGTGGAACCAGGGTCTCCTGCATTGCTTCACTTGTTGACTCCACCCCAAGTCACACTCCCTCCCCCGCAGGCTTAGAGTGAGAGGGAGGGGCTTGCAGTGCCGCCTTGCGGCGTGAGGGCTGGGGCACCTCTTGTAGAAATACGGGCATCAGCTCCCCGAGGTCAGTGTGCTGGATTGTGTTGCAAAACCTCTTCACGGAAGAGCCTGACCTCTGGATTCCCAGGCTGTCCCCTGATGGCCTTTGGAGGGAGGCCAGAAGAGGCATTCTGTGGGCCCTCCCAGTAGGAGCTCTATTGCTCCAGCCAGCCCAGACAGCCCCATTCTCAAGGGCAGGCAGGAAGGAGCAGTTTCTGTTTGTAAACAGCAGCTACGCCCTGCGGGCATCCTTCCTTCCTCCTCTGCCCCCAGCCCCAAAGCTCTGCCTCTTTTGGCAGGGGACGAAATCTGGCCAAGGGTCCTGGGGCAGCAGTAGGCAGGACGGTCCTCCCCAACTTCCTGGGCTAATTTTCCAGGCCAGTGGGAATCCCCCTGCAAGGGCACCTAGAGTCAGATCTGAATTCCTGGGGCGGACATAAACCTAGCTGGCCTTTTGAGGGGACTGTGGCTTTGGGGGACCCAGGGACAGGCTTGGAGGGTACACACCATGGAAGACATCGATTTCTCTGACCAGCATTCCAATTTCCCTTTGAGGAACCACCCTCCCCACTTTCTCAAGTGACCACGCCCCTCTGCTCCAGAAGGAGCCAGATGGGTCAGCCTTGGCCAGTTCGCATACTCCCTGCCACCATGCTGGTTCAAGCAGTCCACTGAGTCCACCTTGGGGTTTCGCTGGGGTAGCTGGAAGAGGGGAGACCTCTGTGTACTGAGCTTCTAGAGCTGGTAAGATATAAATTTGTACAGCCAACAGAGGGAAAACAGAGTCTAAAGATGATTTTTTTTTTTAATGGTATTTCAAAGTGGTGGGGAAAGAATGAATTATTCACTAAATGGGACAGTTGGCTACACATTCAGGGAAAATTAAATCATATCCCTTACGGAAGTAGATTCCAGTTAGATGAAAGAAAAAAGGATTAAAAAGTGAATGTAGGGACTTCTTTAGTGGTCCCATGGTTGGGATCCCATGCTTCTGATGTAGGGAATGTGGGTTCGGTCCCTGATTGGGGCACTAGGATCCCACCTGCCGTGCTGTGGCCAAAAAAAAGAAAGAAATTAATGTAGCCGAAGAAAATGCAAGATAATACTTTTTCAGATACTTGGCAGTGGGTGAGCTCCTCCATGTGACACAAAACCCAGAAACCTCTAAAGGAGATTTGCAGATTGGCTGCATAAAAACGACCTGTATAGTCAAGGATACCACAGAAAAAGGCGAAAGACTGATAATGACCAGGAAAAAATATTTGCAACTCTGCAACAAGTAGGTCATTTGCAACAAATGACCTCTAGTTACAAAGAGGTCCCTCAATGGAACAAAAGGAAAAAACCACTCAAACTCAAACTGGCTGAAGGATGTGAACAAGCAAATCACAGAAGAACAGTCAGCAGGACATTGTTTGCTTCTAGAAGCCCTGAAGTTCGCTTCTAGCAGCACCTCCGGGAACGGATTAGAAATGACGTCATGTGTGAATGGTTGAAGGCAGGGAGACTATTTAGCCCAGAAGGAAATGGGCGAGAGCAACATGGTCCAATAAAGCATAATGCCAGCCGCACATGACATTTAAAACTTTCAACAGCCGAGTTTAAAAAAGCAAAAACAGGTGAAATTACTTCAGTCATGTATTGTAACTTAACCAAAAGTATCATTTCAACACATGATCAAGATAAAAATTATTTATTGGTTTTTGTTTCGACTTTTATCTTGGAAATCTGGTGTGTATTTTACACTTACAGGCATACCTTATTTTATTGGGCTTCCTTTTATTGTGCTTTGCAGTTATTGCTTTTTTGGTTGTTGGTTTTGTTTCTTTTCAGAGTGACGGTTTGTGGCAACCTTCTGGTAAGCAAATTTAGTGACATTTTTTCCAACAGTTCGCTCATTTCATGTGTCTGGGTCACATTTTGGTATGTCTCACATTGCTTTGTCCTTTCAATGATATTTATTATGGTGATCTGTGACGGGTGACCTGGGATGTTACTCCTACAGGTCACTGAAGGCTCCAGATGATGCTTGACATTTTTTAAGCAATAAAGTATTTTTAAATTAAGGTATGTACATTTAGGCATATGGCACTGCACACTCTACAGACTACAGTTTACTGTTACTATGACTTTTATGTGCACTGGGAAACCAAAAATTCATGTGACTTGCTTTACTGGGATATTTGCTTTACTGCACTATTTCCTTTATTGCGGTATTTGTTTTATTGCGATAGTCTGAAACTGAACCTGCACCATCTAACATCTCTGAGGGTTGCTTGTACAGTGCACCTCCATTTGGGACAGCCACATTTCATGTGCTCAGTCATCACAAATGGTTGGCATCACAGGGTTAGAGGCTGAGAGAATGAGCCCCAGGTTTTCTCACTTGCTGTCTGTGTGACCTTTTTGATTTCCTGTCTTCATTTGAAAAATAACACTATAGGGCTGTGTGGGGCATCATTTATTTGTTCAT